GGTAAGGTATAGGGCCAGGCGCGCGGGGGGGGGGGGGGGGCAGCCTCAGGTCCCTCGGGGTCAGCATCAGGTCTGACCTTCTCTGAGCTGTGGCTTCCATCCCTGGTGACACCCACTTCCCTGAGGAGCTGGAGGGTGCAGTGAGGTAAGTGGGTGAAGCCCCCAGAGCGGTGCCTGTGCCGGGACCACCCCCTTGGGCTCAGGCCAGTCCTGGCAGCAGCAGTTGTGGGTGGGGAGGTTGGGGCCTGCTGGCTGCACGCTTGCTGGCAGTGCAGGCTGGGAGCCAGCTTTCCTTTAGGGGAGCTTTGGGGCGGTCCACGGACAGGCCTGCGCGCTCAGGGCATCGGGGCACCTGCCACTCTATGAGACAAGTCATTTCAAGCCTAGAAGCCGGGTGATGGGTGGTGCTGGTTTGAATATAGTATGTCTACAGTATTGGTGTGTGTTTGGCGGGCGCTGAGGGGTGGCATATTTACGTATATATGAAAAATACACTTTTATTTAAAAGTAAAGTAACACATCCTCAGAGGAGAATTAGAAGAAACAGAATGAAAATATAAAACATTTCCTCAACGTCCCACTCTTCTAACTACTGAAGTGGAGCTAGACTCCCAGGTTTGTGTCCTGGGCCCACCCTACCCGCCATTGGCCTGGAGCAACGTCACCTCTCCACGCCTCGGGGTCCTTACCCAGAAGCAGGTCTGATAGCAGAACCTACTTCGTAGGATTGCTGGGGGATGGAGTTAACAAATACAATTTCTCCTCGACTGGTGCCTGACTAGTGCCTGGCAGAGAGGAAGGCCTTGATAAGTGTTAGGCGTCAGCACCTCATTGCTCTTGTCAGCTGAATGGCTGTCCCTGTGTGAGCTGCCCCTGCTGCAGGTGTGGGAGTGGCTTCCAGTTCCCTGGGGAAGGGATGCAACAGGAACACCTTTCAAGGAGCTTTATGTGAATTTTCCATGACTTCATTAGAACAGACACAAGTCAGGGTTGTTGGGGGGTCTCAAACGATCTGGCCTCAAGCTTTTGGGGCTTCCTTAGTAGGTGCTGTTCTCTGCTTCCCAGGGGCCCCTTCCTGGTAGCCATGGGCCGCTCCTGGCACCCAGAGGAGTTCAACTGCGCCTACTGCAAGTCCTCCCTGGCAGACGTGTGCTTCGTGGAGGAGCAGGGTGCCGTGTACTGCGAGCGGTGTTATGAGCAGTTCTTTGCCCCGATCTGTGCCAAGTGCAACACCAAGATCATGGGGGTAAGTGGGCAGATCCTTCCCTCTGGCCTTGTCTTTTCCCCAAGCGACCTCTTCCCTCCTCCGAGAAAGCCGAGAAGTGGCTGCTCACAGCGAGGCAGCTCCACTCTGGTTCTGGAAGGAAGTTGGTTTGCCACCAACGAACTAGGGAGCCGGTGAACTTGAGGAGAGAGATGAGCACCTCCCTGGGCCACAGCTCCCAGTGGCGGTGGAGCTTCTGCAAAGCAAGTTATGTCTTCACCCCCGACCTTCCCTGCACCCACACGTGGCCGTGACCCTGGGCCCCCCTTTGGGAAAACGGCTGCCACAAGCAGCACCTCCTCCAGTGAAGCCTCACAGTGACGTGAGCACGCGCAGCCCAGCCCAGCCAGCGCTGCGGGAGAGGAGCCCGCTGCAGGCCTTTCGGTGGGCGGGCCTGCTGTTTGTGAGGCGGGGTGCTCCCCACCGGCGTCCCGGCCTGAAAGAGCTCCTTCCCGCAGGAGGTGATGCACGCCCTGAGGCAGACGTGGCACACCAGCTGCTTCATCTGCGCAGCCTGCAAGAAGCCCTTCGGGAACAGCCTCTTCCACATGGAAGACGGGGAGCCCTACTGTGAGAAAGGTAGGCTGCTGTGCTGCCCCTCCACCGCCCTCCGCCCCATCCCGGAGAAAGGGGCAGCACAGGGACCGCCTGCAGAGGTCCAGTGGATGGAACCACCCGGAGGCTCCAAGTGGCAGCTTCGCGCCACTACTACACAAAGGCCGTTTACTACACTGTTTCCCCTGCCCCCTGGGCTGCAGCTTTCCTTAGGTGGGCGTGAGGGGTGGGGGCTGTGGGGCAAGGTAGGGGCTTGTTTTATACACATTCAACCTCTGCCCCCTTCCCTGCATCAATTATGTGGATCACAAGTTGGCATCTTGTAGCAGCATGGGAAACGCTTCAGATGATTTTGAGTTGGAGACGGAAAAGTCTAGTCTGAAAAGGCTTTGGCTCTGGACTTTATGCTGGTTCTGTTCCAAGCTCCACCTCAGGCTGACTGTCCAACCCCGAGTGAGTTACTGAGCTCCTCGGAGCCTCACTTTTCCCATCTGTAAAATGGGAGAACTAAATCCCTGCCTCGCATCATTGCGTGAGGATTAAACAGAGAACCTGTGTAAAGCAAACCCGTGATAGTCCGTCTCCCTGCTCCTAGTGTTCCTCCCCGTCTGAACGTCTGAACGCAGAGTTTCTCTGCTTCCCAGAGGGCAGTATGTTATCTTGGAACTTGGAGTAAGGTATCATAAATTCTGAAGACAAAGCACTCTATCAGAGAGGAGGGTGTCGGGCTAACTAGCCATTCACTCACTCACTCGCTCACTCATTTATTCACAGCCTGCCTCTTTCAGAAAAGGGTTTGAGGCAGGTTCCAACAAAGGCAACATAAACATGAATAAGACACTAGAAATAGAAAGTCAGTTCTAAGTAGAAGAGGGAAGAGCAAGCGGGCTGGTTACGAAGAGGAACGGAGCCGCAGTGGCTGGGGGCACATTCGAGGGAAAAGGAGAAACACAGAAGTTAGTTTACATTATTTTTTAAAAATATATTTTTATTGATTTCAGAGAGGAAAGGAGAGGGAGAGAGAGATAGAAACATCAATGATGAGAGAGAATCATGGATCGCCTGCCTCCTGCAAGTCCTACCCCCACCCCCTGCCCCCGCCCCGGGGATCGAACCTGCAACACGGGCATGTGCTCCGACTGGGAATTGAACCGTGACCTCCTGGTTCATAGGTCCACACTCAACCACTGAGCCACGGCAAGTTAGTTTACTTTACAATGAGAAAAGGAGAACATTCCAGTCCCTCAAGGGGAAAAGCAAAACAAAATGAAACTTGCCCCTCTGTCAATAAATTATAAAAATAATTTCTTGGATTCATATATGCTGGTAAATTCTCTTTCCAGCTCTGAAATTAATTGAATGACTTAGTTACTTAATAAGTAATAACTCTGTGTCTCATTTTCCATATCTGTAAAAGGGAGAAGATAACATGCGTTTTTCCTCCTTATGAACATATGGTGATTCCTGGTAATTAAGTATTATTGTTCCAAATATGTGTTGCTATTATTAGTCAACTAAGAGCATTGCAACTTTAATAATTTGTGATGAATCACACTTTGTGTCTCAGGTTTTCTAAAAGAATGATGGATTTCCACCCTCACCACTGCCCCTCTCCATGACGGAGGGGCCCTGGGGCTGCTTTCACTTTTGACTCTAGGAGCACGGGTGTGTGAATGGCCCCTCAGGATCCTGCTTTCCATTCTGTTGGGTCTACGCCCAGAAGACTTGCTGGGTCATGTGATGGTCCTGTTTTTCACTTTTTGAGGAACCTTCATCCTGTTTCCCATAGTAGTTGCTCCATTTTACTAGTATATCCCACCAACAGCGCACAGGGTTACAATTTCTCTACATTTTTGCCCACAGTTATTTTCTGATTTTTAAAATATTTTTGCTGGCAACGATCCTGATGAGTGTGATGTGATATCTCGTGTGGCACTTCGTCATAGTTTTTTTTTTTTTTCGTCATAGTTTTTATTAACAGCTTGGAAGAAGGTACAGAACGATAGGACTCGGACGCAGAGAGATTTCAGTTGCTGAAACAATGAGCTGACACTCTGTGCGACAGCTTGCACGTGAGTGAGACAGGTGTGAGTCAGGCCTCCCAGACTGGCCTGCACCTGAGCACTGCCCGGGCCTGGCCGGGCTTCGTCACCTGGGTGACCTTTACAGAGACAGAGAAAATAAATTCCCAAACCTCCAGAAGCCGAATTCGTGGGGTGCCCTCCCCGACCAGGTGATTTTATATGCAGTTAGGTCTGGGGATCCAAGTGCAGTCCCACCAGCAACTTGAACATCACCCGGAACCTTTTAGAAACGCGGGTTCCAGCCCCACCTCAACATTGTGGAATCAGAAGCTCTGAGGGGTGGGGCCAGCAATGTGTGCAGGTCTCTTGCCTCCTGGGTTAAGTTATTCCTAGTATCTTAACTGTGTTGTTGCAGTGGTCAATGGGATTGTTTTTTAGTTTCTGTGAGTTCATTATTGGTGTATAAAAATGCCATTGATTTCTGGGTGTTAATTTTTTATTCTGCTATATTGCCAAATTGATTTATTAAATCTAATAGTTTTTTTGGTGGTCCTTAGGGTTTTCTGTGTACAATATCATGTTATCTGCGAATAATGAGTTTTGCATCCTCCTTTCCAATTTGGATGCCTTTTATTTCTTTTTCTTGTCTGATTGCTGTGGCTAGGACTTCCAGTGCTATCTATACTAATAAAAGGGTAATATGCTAATTAGATCAGATCAACCAGACATCTTCCCAAAGTCCGACTTCCTTCCGGACAAAGCCACGGTGGCAGGGGCCGAGGCAGGGGCTGTTAGGGGCAATCAGGCCGGCAAGGGAGCAAGCAGTTAGGGGCGAGATTAGGCTGGTGCGGGGGAACAAGCAGTTAGGGGGCAATCAGGCCGGCAGGAGAGGGCAGTTGGGGGTGATCAGGCCAGCAGGGGAGGGCAGTTAGGGGCAATCAGGCCAGCAGGGGAGGACAGTTAGGGGGCGATCAGGTCGGCACGGGAGGGCAGTTGGGGTGATCCAGCTGGCAGGGGAGGGCAGTTGGGGGCAATCAGGCCAGCATGGGAGTGGTTAGGGGAGGATCAGGACGGCAGGGGAATGGTTAGGAGCCAGAAGTCCTGGATTATGAGGGGGATGTCCCCCGAGGGGTCCCAGATTGGAGAGGGTAAAGGCCGGGCTGAGGGATACCCCCCCATGCACGAATTTCATGCACTGGGCCTCTAGTGTTGAATAAGAGTGGTGAAAGCAGACATCCCTGTCTTGTTCCTGTTCTTAGGGGAAATGCTTTTAGTTTTTGCCCATTGAGTATGATGTTGGTTGTAGGTTTGTCATATATGATCTTTATTATGTTGAGGTATGATCCCTCTATTCCAAGTTTGCTGAGAGCTTTTATCAAAAATGGGTGTTGGATTTTGTCAAATGCTTTTTCTATGTCTATTGATATAATTGTGTGATTTTTGTCTTTCAGTTTGTTCATGTGATGTATCACGTTTTTTGATTTGCAAATATTGTACCAGCCTTGCATCCCTGGAATAAATCCCACTTGGTCATGGTGTATGATCTTTTTAATATATTGCTGGAAGCGATTTGTTATTATTTTGTTGAGGATTTTAGCATCTATGTTCATTAGGGATATTGGCCTGTAATTCTCTTTCTTTGTAGTGTCTTTACCTGGTTTTGTAATTAGGACAAAGAGAGCTTGGAAATGTTCTTTCCTCTTGAATTTTTTTGTAATAGTTTGAGGAGTATTGGTGTTAGTTCTCCTTTAAATGTTTGGTAAAACTCCCTTGTGAAGCCATCCGGACCTGGGTTTTTGTTTGCTGGGAGTTTTTTGATTACTGTTTTAATTTCATCAGTAGTTATCAGCCTATTCAAGTTTTCTGATTCTTCCTGATTCAGTTTTACAAGATTGTATTTTCTAGGAGTTTGTCCATTTCAACCAGGTTGTCCAGCTTGTCGGCATATAGTTCATAGTATTTTCTTACAGTCCTTGGCAATCTGTGCTTTAATGAACCTCCAGATGATTCTGACATGTGAGAACCATTGTCCGATAAAGCACTAAACCATTTTTCAACTCAGAGCATGTGATTTGATGGATGGAAATCCTTTTACAATAGCAATAAACCCATTAAATACAGGGTATGAATTCAGCTTGGGGCAGATGAGAGTTAGTCAAAGAATATTGTAACAACCTAATAAATGAGGAACTAGGTTATGCTTCTGGGGGAAGGCCCGTGTACAAGCTAATTCATTATGGATTATGTTCTCCTTTTGTAGTATAAATGAGGAAAATATCAGCTTTTTAAAAAATGTATTAGGGTCAGATCTGTGCTACAATGTTTTAAAAAATATGTTTTTATTGATTTTTTTTTTTTTAGAGAGAGGAAAGGAGAGGGGAGAAATAGAAACATTGACAAGAGTGAAACATCATCAATCAGCTGCCTCCTGCATGCCTCTCAGAGGGGATTGAGCCCACAACCTGGGCCTGTGCCCTGACCTGGAATCGAACTGGTGGCCTCTTGGTTCCTGGGTCGATGCTCAACCACTGAGCTACACCGGCTAGGCAAGTGCTACCAAATTTTAAAGCAAATTAGCAGTTCTCCAGGTCATACGGAATTAAGTTTAAAACAGAAAAATCAATCAATAGTATAGACTAAACACCCCAAAAATAAAAGCAAGCTATTTTAAAAGATTAATCTATGAAAAATCATTGGTTTCACAAGAGAAGGAATTACTATTTAATAAGGTTTTTTTGAACCATTTATCCATCAAATGTGTGCCAGTTCCTGTGCAAAATGCTGAGCATGGGGTGGGGGAGCTCTGCGCTCAAACACCTCAAGAAGACCCATCATCTATGAGATGCCAACACATCAGTGGACAGTTAAGAGATGAATGAATGAATGAATGAATGAGTGAATAGGAAGGGAAGCCCAGGAGAAGCCTCCAGAAGGCCATCTCATGTTTCTTGGTGGGTTTGGGGATGACGACTCCCCAAAAGGAAGGCATGGCCCAAAGAATGTCAGGGGTCCAGGCAGACAAAGTGAGGCGGGTGTTCCAAGCCTGGTCCTGGTCCATGCAGAGGCATGGAGGTGGAGGACAGAGCCCAGGGCATCTGGAGACCAACGGGGAGTAAGAAGAGAGAAGTTAGGAGTGTGTGCAGGGTTTGGAGATGGTGGCCTATAGCCCTGTTTCTCATCCCACATTGATAACTTCCTACAGAGCAGAGAGTGAACCAGAACTTGCTGTGTTCCTGAAGGAAGCAGAATAACGTTTTCCTAGTTCTGGTGTGGTGATAGATTTCTGTCTACTGAACAAATTAAATGTTTGGTCAGAAACAAGGTTGACAGACTGCAATATATGTAAAAGCATTTGCATGTCAAACTAAATTAAACCCCAAAAGGGAAACTATACATTGGAAAATATGCAAGAGATGGAACTTACCAAAGCTCAATGGCAGATAGGTCACTGGAGACAGCCTGAAGTCATGGAACGGGGTCAGTCCACCGCGCTCCTCCACTGTGTGATGGAACCTCTGCAGCCAGACTCCTGGTCTTTAAAATGGGAATCATACTTGTTCTCAGAGCTGCTGTGAAGATCAAACAAGACACGCAGAGAAGCACTAACAGCGGACTAATAGCGGAACCAGTTCCCTCCCCTCCTCTCATCACTCACAAAGACACTCAAAATAAGAGCCAACATTTTGAGGCTTTGTGCCAAGTCCTTCACATACATGATTTACTTATTCTTATAACAACGCCACGAGTTAGGTGCTGTAGTTATTCCCACTATATAGATGAGAAAGTAGAGGCACTGAGAAGTCAGGCAACTTACCTCAGGTTTGAACAATTCCTTAATAAAGCTGGGATTTGAACCCGGCTCTTTCTTTCTTCAGAACCCAAAGTCATAACCCCCATGGCTACTGTCCACAGGCTACTGTCCAGAAAGCCGCCGAAAGGAAAAGCCACTGGGCAGCGCTGTGGAGACAGCTCTGGGGAAACGAAGGCTTCGTAGCAGCCGTCAGGGTTTTCTAGAGAACCTGAGAGAGTGCCCCGTGCACAGTGGGGTTGCTGCCCCGGTCCCAGAGCCCGGCTCCTGTGGCCGAGATGCACAGGGCCTGGCCCTGGGGTCTCAGCCGTGGACTCTGGCGAGGCCCTTCCCTCTTTGATCCCGTTTCCTCAGCCACAAAGTCAAACCAAACCAAACAGAAAAACAATGATAGTTCAGTCTTGGAGGGATTTCACAAAGGTTAACTTCATTCATTGATTTATTGATTCATTGATTCATCCATTCACTCATTCGTTCAGCACATATATTCGCCAGGCACTGAGCTGGGAGTACAAAGACTTTGACACTGAGATATCAGTAAATAGTGTCATCTACTGAGAATGCTTGGTAAACTATAAAGCATTATACAAATAATATTTGTTATTATCTTCTTGGCGGCGGCGGGGCGGGGGGGGAGGGGGCCGGTGGGGGAAAGGGGACATGTCCCAACAAAGTAGCTCAATTATTGTTTCCAGTAGTGAAAATTTGCTATTAAAACAAATGCCCAATAACAGAAGAATGACCAAGCAAAGAACAGCCTATAGCTATTAAAAATGTTAAGGGCTCTCATTCTTCCGAAATAAGCAGAGTTGCTGAGAAATTTTTTCCTTTTTCTGTGACTGTCTGCCTGGCTATAAGAGGGGACAGAGACGGAGGAGAAGCTCAGCTGCAGAAAGTGAATGAGAGTTTGAGAAAGTGCTTGCAAGTCAAACAGGCGCAGGGTGCCAACTAAGCCTCAGCCTGCACGATTCCAGTTCTTAATGGAAAAGGAAAAAATAAATCTTGTAACTGAGTGTTTCATCTGCAAGATGACAAGTAACCCGTTGGGTTTCCCCCACTGCCCTGGCCCTGGCCAGGGGCTGGCTGGCACTGGCCGGGACGCTCCTCCTCGCTGCCGGCTGCGGGTCCTCACTCTGCCTTTCGTTTCAGACTACATCACTCTGTTCAGCACCAAGTGCCACGGCTGCGATTTCCCTGTGGAGGCTGGTGACAAGTTCATCGAAGCCCTGGGCCACACCTGGCATGACACCTGCTTCATTTGTGCAGTATGTTTTTAGCATGGCGTTCTGGCTTTCCGAGAAGGGGCAGGAGGGACCTAGAGGGCCAGACCCACACTCTACATCCTTCCAACTCTGGCCTTCTAATATTCTGATTGTTTATAAAAGCTGGCTAATACCATGATGCCTTGATATGTCACAGTTGAACAAAGTTTTATTACTAGTAATTTTTATTAACCAGGATGGCTTTGTTACTCTCCATTTCATTAGGGACAACAGAGAGCCCAGGACCTGCCTCACCAGCGTTGTTCTTAGTAGGTGAGAGCAGTGACTTACGCTGAGATTTAAAGGAGGCAGATGCTTCCTATAGTTGTAAGTTGTTTCAGATATGATGAAGTGATTCAAGAGTTTCCCCCCTAAATTTTCATTAGGATCGATAGATTGGAACTTATTGACTAATCCTATAAAAAGCTGAGATAAAGTTTCTTTTGATACAACCTTTAGAAAGTAGGATTGAATATAATTTCATTTTCCTAAATGGTCTTCTTCTTGATGTGTAGTTGCCAGGAGATAAGCCCTAGATTAACTATTAACCACGTGTGATGTATTTCTGCTAAACAGCCCGATCATTTTTATCAGGGAGATTGGCATTTTCTTCCCATGGGCTTTGGGTTGGGGAGGGGACTCAGCAATGAGCCTGCTGACATTTACATTCTGACATTTAAAGTTAGGGAATAGCCAACTTAATTTGGGAAAGTTAATGTGCTACTACTATTTTTTTCTTTTTACCAGAGCTGATCAAGGTAAATTTCGGGATGTGTGAAAGATCTGTATAGTTTAAACTTGAAGCGTTTTTATAAACTTATGACATAGGACAACCCAAGTCATAAAGTTTACTGCTATACACTTCAGGTTTTACAATTCATTTCTATACTGCCCCCTCAAAGTAGTGGGGTGCACTGTATTCCCTCTGTGTAGCAGTCTGCTAGGCCTGCCATAACAAAGTACCATAAACTAATGGCTCAACCAACAGAAACGTATTCTCTCACAGTGCTGGGGGAAATTCAAGGTGTCAGCAGGGCTGTGCTCTCTCCCCGAGCTCCTGGGTTCTGCCTGCAGTCCTCGCTGTTTCTTAGCCTCTAACTGCGTAACTCTAGTCTCCGACTCCATCGTCACATGACTGTTTGCCCTCCGTGTGTCTGTCTTCACATGACATTCTCCTCTGTGTGTGTCTGGCTCTGTGTGCTGCTCCTCTGAAAAGGACACTGGCCGCATTGGAGTAAGGGCCCACCTCACTCCAGTGTGCCCCCTTCTTAACTTCCATCTTCATCACATCTGCAAAGACCCTGTTTCCACTGAGATCCCTGCTGGGTCCCTACGCCGGGTGAGCTGGAGGTTGGGACTTCAACAAATGAAATGGGGGGGGGGGGCGGAGACACTGATTTTCCAGATCTTTGAACACATTCTCTAGTTGCCTTTTATAGTCTTTTAAATACATCAGGGCCTGCACTCCAAAGAGAAGAGGGACAATGATATAAATATGCTGACTTTGAGGTTGTCCCCAGTTCAGCAAGGCACAGAATATGGCTCTCTGACCCTTACACTCCAGCTGTGGCTTGTCTGATCCTAAGATGCTTCCTACACATCTGATTACCCAACTTCTGCAAGAACCCAGGAGACTTGGAGAAGGTCCAGGGAGACAGTGGCACAGAGGCCTCTCCTAGGCAGGCTGAGGAGAGGTCTGTGTTGCATGGAGAGGGAGCCGTGGCAAACGTGAGCGGGGTCTGCTCCCTTGAGCTCACTGTGTTTCGCTGAGAGGCATGATCGCAAGCACAAGTCCCAGAGGGAGAACCAAAGAAGCAGCAAAGCTTAGGGCTGTTCAGACTGAGATTACAAATAAGTTCTGGTCAAGTGTGAGAGATCCATAGCTCTGCCCAAAGGATCCGCCCAAAGGAACCAGGCAGATCCCATCCTGTGGAGAATCACCGCGGAGAATCATTACGTCCTCCCCCCAACGAGCCCTGTGTGGCACTCACTGTCCTGTTAGCGTTTATCAAAATGGAACATGGCGTGAATTTTTGGAAAACAATCTTTCGATTGGAAAACTTTGAGGGTTTTCTTGGTTCTCTTTCCAAATCACACTTAATGAGCATATATTTTTCTTTTAACTTAAAAAAAAACAGTAAGAAAGGAAGACCAGGACTAGCTCCCCCAGTTGACGGTGTTTCCTGCAGTCATATCTCAGGAGAGCACATCCATCCAATAACCAAGACTGGGAGTGCAAGAGCATTCCAGAACTTCCCCTTCAGGGAATTTAGAATCTTGAAGGAAAGCAAAGCAGCACATACCAGCAATTCACAGCAGCACAGACAGCATTGCTGAAGTCCCACGCACATAGAACGAAGGCTCAGAAAAGGCAACGTGGGTCAAGGGGAGGGCTCAGCTCCTGTCTGCCTTTGGCACTTGAGTTCCAGGGAAAGGATTTGGGTCCTACTTTCCTGGGGGAAGGATGTCTTCCTGGCCCCTCGTTTCCTCCAAGTTTAGTTGGTTTCTGGCCCTTCCTCACCAGTGTGGGTAACAGGAGGGGACGCTGGTGGCATAACTTCTGTGGGCAGTGCTGAGGCTGCTGCACCCGGCCTATTTCACCGCCTTCCACTCTGTAGCCGGCACTGTTCATGGCCACCACTCCTTCCCAGCCAGGCCCCGATGCTCCTAGACCCCGGAGCTGGGGAGGTGGCCATCCCTGCTGTGCCCGTGCTGAGTAGGCTGGAGACCCCCTCCACCATGAAGCCACCATGCATCCTGCCTGCAGCCTCCTGGCCCAAGACACTGAGCACAACCTCGTTATGACAAATCCTGTTCTCAGCCTCATCTCATTAAGGGAGCCACCTCTGAGGTTCTGGCCCTGCCTCATCTTTGGTCTTCAGTCCCCCCAACTCCTTGTCCAGCCTGACTCATCCCAGAGTTCTCACCAGCAGCCAGCACTGTCGCAGACCAGGCAGGGTTGGCAGGCATCTCCTGGCCAACTCACTCCAGAGCTGTCTTTCTGTCTCCATGAAACCTATCTCCAGTTGGATCTTGAGTGCCACCTTCTTGGACTTGGCTCCAAACTGTCATCAGCAGCTTGAGGCCACCACAGGAGCCTGGTTACACTCAACATGACTGTATCTGCCTGGGATGTTTTCAGACACTTTCAGGTCATGTCTTCCAGAGCCCACTGGCAGGTCTGTGGACCCTAAGTGTGACATCAGGGCTTTGCACACGGGGCCCTCATGATGCCGCTTTTCTTTCCAACTCTCTTGGCGTGGACACACGCTCACTGACCCCGTTCATCTCTGTAGGGTGATTGCCCGATCCTTATGCCTCCCCATATGTGGGAATTCCACCTGCATTTCTTTACCCAATGTTAGTGTCCTGGTTGTGGCCCCAGTTCTACTCCCTGTTAGGGACCCTCAGCGCCCTCTCTGAGGCTGGGCCAATCCCAGCCAATGTGGCTTCCCAGCTGACGCTGACTCATTGGCATTATTGCTCACCCAGGGCCAGCCTACCCATTGGTAGTCTAAACGCTGGGAGGGCTGGAAGCATTTTTCCAAGTCTGGTGAGATCTTGCTTTCAGTTGTATCTTCTGTTTGGCTCAAAGACATTTTTATAAAGCTTCTCTCAGGTTTGGACATTCTTACATCTATAACACGAGGCGGGCACTTTGCCAAACAATGTGCATAAATCTCTCAATCATCTGGCCTTCCTGGTATCACGCACACAGAACCCGACTCGGTGCCATCCCTTCCCTTCCTCTAAGAATTCTTCTCTCAGGTACACCTGCCACACGGAGGCCGGATCCCATTGGGCAGTGCCGACTTTTTTTGTTTGTTTTGTTTTTGTTTTTTGTTAATCCTCGCCCGAGGATATTTTCCCATTGATTTTTAGGGAGAGTGGAAGAGAGAGGGAAAGACAGAAACACCGATGTGGGAGAAACACATGGATTGGTTGCCTCCTGCAGGAGCCCTGATCAGGGCCCAGGCCAGGGAGCCTGCAACCAAGGTACATGCCCTTGACCGGAATCGAACCCGGGACCTTTTGGTCCGCAGGCTGACGCTCTATCCACTGAGCAACACTGGCCAGGGCAGCGGTGTGGACTCTTACTTTCTTTCACTCTTTGGCTAGAGGTATGTAAGCTTAGAGGTGACAAGCTACTGAGGGCTTTGTTTGGTTTTTTCTTTTACTAAAGTGAGAGTTCTCTAGTGGTGTTTGTGGAGCTTTTCTTATTCCTTTCATTGTGAGTGAGGATAATTTAATGGTGTGTTTGCTAGTTTACTAACGGTATTTTTTTAGATGTTAACCATCTCTGTGGATATTGACTTATGAACTAGTATTGGTTCCTTGTTAATTTTTGGATAGTGCCAACGGGTCTTCAGCATGCATATTTCTCTATTCCATTAATTTATTTAATTTGAGTTTTACTCCATGTTCCTCTCTGCAAGTGTTCAGTTCATATAGTTTAACCCAGCTTCCGCAGTTAAGGCTTGGAGGTGGGAGAAAGGGCTGCTGCCTCCCCGCTCTGCCCGGGACAGCGCTTCCCCTAAAGGGTGACAAACCTTTGGCGGGGGTTCCCGCCTCGGGCCTGCACGCGCCTGTGTCACCCGGTCTGTTTTCTGTCCCAGGTCTGCCATGTGAATCTGGAGGGGCAGCCGTTCTACTCCAAGAAGGACAAACCCCTGTGCAAGAAGCACGCGCACGCCATCAACGTGTAGGCAGCCCGGGCGGGCCGGCGGGCCGCTGCCGCTGCTGCTGCTGGAGGAACGGAGACCCTGGCGAATGGAGAGGGAAGCACCGAGCGCGCCTGAGTGTAACTTAGTCTTTCTCTGCACACAGATTGTGTATTTGCCTAGTTCAGACTAGAAGCCAAATGGAGATTCCTAAGCCAAAGTAGTAATTAACCCCAGACTGGAATTGCACCTCGGACTGAATCCTGGGAACTCAAAAGTGAAAAACAAAAAGTAACTTTAACTTTCCCCAGTGATGCACGTCCCGGGCCACCAGCGCCAGGCGAGCGGGCGGAGGAGGCTCCAAGGCCGGGCTCCGGGCTCCGG